CCATTATAATTAGTAGGTATTAATGAAACAGCTTCCAGTGATTTTAAGAAGTAGTTAAACTTCTGGCATTTTCAACCATCTGTCATAGTGTTTTCCATAGTCTGATGGCACACAAAAGAGAACTTCCCTTTCTTTTAGACTTTTATACAATAGCAATTGGATTAAAGACTCAGAAATGTAGACAGAAGAAAGTTAAATTCTTGTGAAAACTTGAGTGTTTTCTGTAGTTCAGGGGTAGGAGCAAAAAAAAGGGTTAAATTTTTAATCAAGTTTTTGTGAAGTTATTTTTCAGTCAGTTAAGTGATGTGCTCCATCCTTGTCTTGAGGTTTAGAGCATGTGTGCCAAACCAACCCTGTGCATAGTGTGTCACAGCAGAAGAATTGTTCTTGTGAAAGCCAAGCCCACTCCTGGATACTTTCCTCGTATCTGTTTCCCTGTTAACCACCACCCCTACAAGTAAGGGACAGAATTAATTGGTCTGAAGGTGTGAACTCACCACAAGCTGGCTTCTTCACAAATACTTTTCCTGTAATGTGGTGTGCAGGCATCTTAAGCGTGTTTACAGGGAAAGGGGTTACGATGTTTTGAAGAGAGGTGGCAATTGAAATGACTTGTTCTGACAGTGGTGGTCTCATTTTAGTCATCGTGCTTCTCATGAGTGCCTTAAGAGTAGAGAAAGACTGGTTTCTGTGTGTGTGTGCTACATGTGAAGAAAGGCTGCGGAGATTGTGTCAGTGCTGTGTATGGAGACTGAACTATGTATTTGCAGTAATTCTCATTATATTGGAACAGAGTCCTCTTCTGCTAGTAGAATACATAGCTTGGTTTCTGATTAACAAAGTATTTTTCTGTGTCAATCAACAGATTTTAATTTCTGTTGTTAGGGAAGCAATGTTTTTCTTGGATGCTATAGTAGTGTAATCTAGTAATACGCATTAAAGTATAGTATAGTAGTAACATTGAAGTCAGTAAAAATCTGTACAAAAATTTGCATGCAGCACTTTTATATGAAATTGGTGAAACTACTTGTCACATACAAGAAACCTGTTAGGCTTGACAGCGTTCATTTCTTTCTAGCTGGCTACTTAAGTGTGTGTATTTACACTGACAAAAAATAAATTTGATTTTAACATGTCATGGATGCATTTTTGTTTGCAAGTCATAAAGCCAGTTTAGCTCATTTAAAAAAAAAAAAAAAAACAAACAAACCAAAACACCGGAAAAACAAACCCCTTAAACTGACAAGGTGAGATTAAATGGATTTACCATGATCCTGGTAAGTGTTATAAGACTGCTGTCTTTCACGTGTTTATTTTCATTTCCTCTCTTCAGTATTTTGCTACATATGAACCATAACACCTTGTTCTGAAGTAAGAATGTAGTCTGAGGAAATACTCCAGGAGACAGAGCTGGATAGAGCTCTAGGACTGCTGCTGTTCGCATACCTTGTCTTTTTGTTACTCTGGCAACTTAGTATTTATGTTTATGCAAAACTATGGTAAAAGCTGTTTCTTTCTAAAATCCTGTTGTACTGGCCACCTTTAGTCACAGAATATTAGGAGTTGGAAGGGACCTCGAAAGATCATCCAGTCCAACCCCCCTGCCACAACAGGATCACCCAGACCAGGTCACACAGGAACACGTCCAGGTGGGTTTTGAATGTCTCCAGAGAAGGAGACTCCACAGCCTCTCTGGGCAGCCTGGTCCAGTGCTCTGTCACCCTTACAGTGAAAAAGTTTTTCCTTATCTTCGGATTGAACCTCCTATGCTCCAGCTTGCTCCCATGGCCCCTTTTCCTATCATTTGACATCACAGAGCAGAGCTTGGCTCCTTCCTCATGGCACTCGCCCTTTACAAATTTACGCCCTTTACAATAAACATTAATGAGGTCACCCCTCAGTCTCCTCTGCTCCAAGCTAAAGAGACCCAACTCCCTCAGCTGCTCCTCAGAAGGGAGATGCTCCACTCCCTCCATCATCTTTGTGGCTCTGCACTGGACTCTTTCAAGCAACTCCCTGTCCTTCTTGAACTGAGAGCACAGAACTGGACACAATATTCCAGATGTGGTCTCACCAGGGCAGAGTAGAGGGGAAGGAGAACCTCTCTCAACCTACTAAGAATACCCCTTCTAATATACCCCAGGATGCCATTGGCCTTTATTAAAGGAAAAAAATCCAATATTGGTCTTAGATTATGTTAAATACTAATACAGACTAGGAAAGAAGAAATTGTGAATATAACTATCCTTTTGCAAAATATTAAATGTAATATTCAGCTTTTCGTGTTGTGCTAGTTGGGAGAGACACTGCAAAAACATTGAGTGGCCATTACAATAAACGGCTTTCTTAGACTGCAACGCTTGCAGTTCTGGTTCATTGCTTTAGAAGGAAATTAGACTTGAGGATGGTTATTTTTGTTGCTTTAGGTTGAGAGAGGATGGTTTACTTCCAAATTAGAGGAGTTTTCTTACCTTTCTCCAGCAGTGCTAATTTTCTTTGGACAAAATTATCTTTATATTTTGCAGAGAATTGCACCAAAGCCGGTTTGGTTTGGGGCAGTGGAGAGGTAGAGAAAAAAAACCCCAAACCCTTAGTAGCAACTCTTGATGTGTTCTGCTGCAAAACTATTGATGACCTTATTGGTGTTTTGAGCCGGTTCCATAGACAGCAGAATATCTTAAAGACAAATTCAAATTTTTGATATTGAAAACACTCCCTTTTGATGTTTTTGTAATTTTGTGATGGGAAGAAAGACAAAGTCTTTTTGACATACAGTAAAATCCCTTTATGTTTTAGAACGTGTCATTAGATGAAGGGTTGTTCAGTTTTTTTGATTGGTTTAGAATGGAGAAAGGTAATTGGCAGGTGTTAAAACTGTTCCTATATGTGTCTTCTGATGTTGATGTTAATAGTAAAATACTTACACATGCAGTATAGCTCTGACTTGAAAGAGAAGTACTTTCAAAGCAGATTTCTTCCATAGTTTGTCAGATTTTTATTTCTGTGTAATGGTGAGATGTGATCCTCTAGTTTATGACCCTTTTTCTTGGGGTCGTGGGTTTGCTATTGCTTAGTTCCTTCACTTTAGCGAGAAAGTAAAATACTTCCGTAACTTGCTGATCACACTGGCCATTTTTGTGCACCCTTTTATACAAAATGGCTACTAGAGCAACCATTTCAGTGTGGGAGAGAGAACACCAATACAAAATCCACTTTGGTTATACTTACCAAGGCAGAGGGTCAAATGATGGAATGAAGGGCCAAGTTAACTTATTATTTAACTAATAGAGTATAGGATGGCCAGAAAGTGAAGTTGGATCCACAGTCAGTGAAATAGAAAGGTGTGTGATGAATAAAATGCAACAGAATGAGCTGCAGTTGTACACACAACCAATTGATAATGTTGTTAAGCTATTGTGTATTACTTTAATTTCTACAAATTCTTCAGCTTCAGATATCTTTTGCTCTAGAGGAGGACAAGAAGACAGATTTATCTTGTAACAGAAGATTGAAATTCACCTAAGGGTATATGCACGTATATTTTATAGTACCATTCAGAATAGACTTTCAGATGCACAGAAATAAAAAGTTGAATAAATTCAGCTTCATAGATGATATATGTATGAACAAAATAATTGTAACCACTTAAGAGTTATTTTTCATTGTAGTGTGGAGTTGATCTCTTTACCCCTGAATTATGCTTCTCAGACAGTTTTGTAATACTTGTCAGTACTAGGAGAAGCAACAGTGATGGAAGGTGCGGCCTGAGAAGTGACTCAGTATCACTTTACAAAGCTCTACAGAAGACTGCATTTCTTGACTAGTAGTTGCAACTAAGTGCCTAATGATATCTCCAAATTGTTGATGCATCTGAAAATTGAGGGAAAACTAATTCTGTTAAATTAAAGCAAAATACATGTTTTTCTCAGCATAAGCTGTAGTATTTTACCAAGCAAACAAAAGCCTCTTAAAAGGCTAGAGCAAACACAGTCATAAGGGATTGTTAGAGCTGCTGCAAGTTGATGTTCAGTAGAATGTGACTGTCACTTTTTTCTTTTTTCTCTGGTTTGAGTTCATTGTTTAGTTTTGCTTATAAAACTCTAGCTTTTGGAGACATATCTCTTCAGACTTGTTTTATGTTTACCTAGGGTTGGTAGTCATGGTGAGGAAAAGTCTTGCAGAGGGGTAGTGAAAGTAAAGCGATGCTGTTCATATACAGTGGTAGTGATTATATGTAGTGCAAAGAGAAAAGCATGATAAGCTTGATCACTATGCAATCAGAAAACTGTTGGAATTCAGCTAAGTACATACAAATAACATTAATGTATTGGTATGCTGCACACTATGCAGTCCTACTTAGAAAGATAGTTATGCCCCAGTGAGTTTACTTATTTTGACAGAGATCATATGAAACTTACACTAGCAAGAAGAATGCATTTTGCTTAGTGAAAATTGTACATACCACAGAATTTGTGATTTTTATTTAAATCTTCATTCAGTCCTTAAATATACTGAGAAATGTTTTGCTTTAGGTAATTTTTATTATTCAAGTTTCTAGTGATAGTAACAATTTTTTTCCTGATTTAAAAGTGCAGAATATGAAGTGTGTAATCTGATACAATCCTTGATTCATAGGACTGACTTAGAAGCCTTTGTTGGTGTTTTTGTTGCTATAATGTCCAGAAAGTGTTAACTTTAGCAAAAAGCTGCTTTGCTGCTTCCCCTTCTCCTCACAAAACAATCAAAATATTCAACAAGTGATGTATCAGTAACAAGTAGAAGAGGTGTTTCTGGTTGATTTTCAACTGAAATTTGTAAAATCAAATTACTTTTTTGTCTGAGCAGTTGACAATGGCAAAGAATATGCTGCCTGTTTAATATCTTTTTTTCCTTAAAAAAATTGTATTCTTTTAATTTAAAACCTTTGGTCTCTGCAGTATATTTAAAACCTTTTTGTTGAATGTGGGGTGTTTTTATTTTTTTTCTCCCCAATTTGGCAGTTCGCTCCTTTGGTACAGAAGATAGACCAACTGATAGACCTATACCACCTCGTGATGAAGTCTTTGAGTATATTATATTCCGTGGCAGTGACATTAAAGACCTAACTGTTTGTGAGCCACCAAAGCCTCAGTGTTCTTTGCCACAGGACCCTGCTATTGTTCAGGTAAGTCAAAACATAGATGTTTGCTGCTGAAGATATAACCTGGTAGCTTTAAGTGCTCTCTAGCCGAGAGCACTGTTTAAAAATTAAAATGGTTGTTGCTGTAAAGTTCACAACCCAAGGTAAAGAAAAAAAAAGACTTTCTTCTTTTGAATCCTGTCTTTAACTGCGAAAATCAAGATTGAAATCTAACTCTAGCACAATGCACTGAATACCAAAAGCTGTCCATCTTTCAAAAACAACTCATGGTTTTTGGTAGACTTGTACGCCTTTTTTGAAAGGTACTTGGCTTTGTAGGGCACGTATGCAAGACTTCTTGGAAAGATCAGACTTGGTATAAGTCAGATGGATGCTGAAACCTCCCCAAATCATCAGTGATTTTTTTTTTTCCCTGTTTGGTTTGCTTTCTTTGGGATTTTTATGTTCAACTTCTTTGCTGTTACTCTAAAAGTATTTCATCTAACTATGTGTTTTTTTTAAAGGCTTCATACTAAATGACAGGGAATACTTGGTTGCTGAAGAGAAAGCAACTTCCAAACTGAAGCTTTGAGGGTTAATTAATCTGCTATTTCATAGTAAATGGACTGACAGAGATAGTTGTCTTTGATCTCTGAAACTTGTTGGCTTATTGGTTGTGCTTGTGGAGTGTCTTAAAATCATCCCTGAGAGAAAGGTGGAAATTTTTGTTTCAAGTGGAACTTGATAATTCTGTAAGTGTTGACATTTCTAATGTTTAACTATTCCTTAAGATAAAATTTTTGATACTTACTCATAAAGTATCTTTGCAGTCCTATGAAGTCTTTTGCTAAATTTAGTGCAACTCCTTCTGTCAATGGTAGTTGAGAGCTGTGAAATTGCAGTACTGCTAACCCAAATAATAGTAATAACCTCACCCTCCTTCAGGATGTTTGGGTCTTTCATTGTTCATGTGGTTTTTGAAACTTTGGGGAAAACATTTTCCAAGTTTGCCAACAAACTCTTATATGTGTCTTTGACAGTGTCCAGTATCTGAGGTTCTGGGGAAAAGATTGCAAAATTTTATGGTACTCTTTTCACAAGTTTGTGCGATTGGAAGGGTAAAAGTGCTTTCTAAACTGTATATACACTTGTGAAAATGTTTTCTGCTAACTGTTGTCTGTTTAGAGTTATCATGTAGAGTAATGTGTGTAATTCACTATTTTTGTGCTGTCTTTGCTTGTATGTTAAAGTGGTTACATTCTTGATATTAAAAGAAACAACTTTGAATGTTAAGGTCTTTTATATGGATCAGCCACAGTGGTGTTAGGGTAAGTTTAACAAATAGTTCTAGAGTTTATGCATTTCTTGCCTTGCAGAACTATTTCCTGCTTTTTGTGTAAACGTTAATTTTTGCAAGTGTGTTTTGTTTTTAGTCTTCACTAGGATCTTCGACTACATCTTCATTCCAGTCTGTGGGGTCCTATGGTCCTTTTGGCAGAATGCCTGCATACAGTCAGTTTAGTCCAAGCCCGCTGGTGGGGCAGCAGTTCGGTGCTGTGGGAGTTGGTATGTTCATTTTTATTACCTGGTGTTTTCCTGTAAGTGAAGTTGCATGTGTGTATAGACAGGAATCAGTGCTTATAATTCCATCAATGTCTTATCCTAAGGGCACATCCGAAGTCCTTGATCTATACGAGTCCCCCAGTTTAGCTCAAAAGTAGAGAGTTTTTCATAGCTCAAATCAAAGCAATTATAATTGAGAACTAAACACCGTATCTCAGAGGGACGAGTGAGGAAAGGTTGCTGTATTCATGAATTCATTCTTTTTCGTATATATTTATGACATTCGTTGTGTATTCATTTTATTTCATGAGTAGTAGAGGCAGCTTCTCCACAAAAGCCCCATAGCTGCGCTGTGGACATCTGGTATCCTAGGTTGCCTAGGTGGTGTGTGCTTTAACCAAGAGTTTGGATTATTCAGCAGTCCATGTGCCAGCACAGTCCTCCAGCTAATCATGAGATCTTAGCTTGGCATGAAGTACATGCTTGAACTCTTTGTGAGCTGCATGGGTTAGTTGCTCACTTATACTGCAGATGCCCTCTGAGCCTCACCAACCAACCTTCATTCCTCCCTTGAAGTTTTTTATTTCACATTTTAGTTTTTCCACATAGGAACTTACATTCTTCTGTTATGTGACAGTGTTACTCCTGGTACTGAAAATGTTAGCCATGCAAAAGGAAAGCTGTAGAAGTGGCTATAACTTGATATCAATTAGTAAGTCTAAACCAGGTTTTACAACGACACTTTTTCTTTCAAAGCAGGAGGTTCTTTAACATCTTTTGGAACAGACTCTTCAGCCAGTGGTAACATGTCCCAAAGCACTGCAGTTGGTTCTGCATTTACAACAGATGCAAGATCACTAAAAACACAGATGTCTCAAGGTAAATCGTTTTTTAATAACTCTTTGATCTTTTTTGACCAATCATGTCCTTGTGATTTAGGTGGTTGCCAGAAATGCTAAAGGAACAACTATATTTTGTCCTCAGAACAGTTGATATTAAAACCAGAAAGTACTGAGAGTCTTTGCTCTTTAAATGTGTTTTCTTACATCTTGGTGTGCTGCATAGGTAACTGTTAGCAACATGTTTCTTGTTATCTTTAAAGCATCTCTATTGAGGAGTAGGACTTATTTTAGTTGAATAATGTTAGCAAATAGGTGCATATGGCAATTAAATATCTAGTTTTATTAATAGCATGGCAAAACTCAAGGTGCTTCATGCTGATTGAATTGTGAAGTCCTTCAGCCTACAAAATCCTTAATGGTGTTTTTTTGTTAATTTATATTTATATAAGTAATATTAACAGCAGACCTGATTGCCTGTAGTGATAGTGACATGAAAGTTAAGGCAGCTTAATAGTAATAGAAATTGTGTGGGTCGTTTGTGTAATACTGGAAAAAGATAGTAGAAGCAAAAAGGAAATTTTTTATGCTTTTTAGAGTGGCAAAGAAAAAAGAAATTAAATGTTGAGCACCTTCACTCTCACTTTGCATGCAAATGTGTTAAGTTTGCTCCTCAAAATCCAAAAGGCATTATTTCCTGCTCTTCCACTCTTCATTGCTGCAAGTAAAATTCTGTGCTAATATATATTCCTAATGCTATTTTAATTTTATGTAGTTGTGTTAAAAGGCAAAACACTTATAGCAAACAGGGTTTTTCCTAAATCGTAGTTGAGATTTTTATACCAATTAAGATTGCTTTCTAGGATTAGTTGAGTGGATTACCAAAAGTAGATTCTACTTTGTTGCATTAATTGAAGGGGAAAAAAGTTGGCTTCTCTGTTGAAAGAGTAGCTGGGTTTCTGTAGGTGATCTTAAAGCCTGTATGGTTCTTGGACTTAATGTGACACATACTCTGGATGAATAGACATTCTGCTACAGAATTTCCTGTGAGGCACTAACAAGGTTTTTTCTGTGAGTTTTATTTTTTAAATATTTGTCATCTTTGTGGATCTAAGTGTGTGGTTTGTTTTGGGTTTTATTTATTTGTTTGTTGGGGTTTTTTTCTTCTTTTGTTTAGCCTTTTTATAGGATACAATGTTATCCTTTTATTCTACTTACTGGGACTTGAGTTGTGTTCTAATTTCGTAGTAGATTTACTGTAGATTACTCTGTGGTGTCATAAACTTGTCTGACCGGATCAAATATCTCCATTCTAAACATGTTTCTGGCTCCAGTCTCTCATGCTGCAAATTGAAATGCATGAACTGCACTTTGTGGGAGAGCTTTCTTAGCTTCTTCATCTGCATTCTGCCTGGTACTGGCTATCACTGTTCATTTATTTCATGGTGATCATACAACAGAGCATGCTAGATGAAATGAAATTTCAGTATCATGACTGTATCTCTGCCTTTGGGAGCAGTCACTTTCCACTTGGCTTTCCAGGGAGGCAGAAAGGGTATTTTTACCTCCAATCAATTAAAAAATTTCATTCCACAGCTAAATGCACATCATGGATAGGTTGGTAGGGATTAATTGTCCTACCCATTTTTTTCTTTTAGACTGGGGGAAGGGAAAATTGTAAATACCTTTCAGTCTGGATTAGTGGATCTGGTGCAGAAATATTTATTTCTTCTTTGGACACAGCTATCTGGAGTGGTGTAAGGCAGATTGGTTGAGACCAGTAACTCAAATCTGTGGATGAGAAATAATTCTTTGGGTTTTGGTTTTATTTTCTTGCCAGGTCGTTCAAGCCCTCAGATAGATCATTTGAGAAGGAGCCCCACCATGGAACAAGCAGTACAAACAGCTTCAGCCCACTTGCCTACACCTGCACCAGTTGGGAAGAGGAGTCCTGTACCAGCCAGACCTTTGGTGTCTGCTAGCCAAAAATTGTTAGAGAATCAAGAGCACAGACGAGGTAACTTTGGATGATTTTCATGAGACTTATTTTCTTCCATACATATACGAAGTGCCCTTTTTAAGGGTAACATGTAGGAATTTTCCTGCTGTCTATTATTAGTAGACTGGCCAGCAGAGACTTGGATTATATTTATTTCTTTTTAAAGTCAAGTATATATTCTAATTTTTTTTTTCTTTTTATGAAGTTAAACTTGTCGTTTATTTTTATAGGTTTGGATTTTTTTTGAAATCTGGACTATATAACTGTATACAGAAGTATGATCAAAAATATCTAGTTGGATAAACAAACCATTTTTTTATTTCCAACTTTAGCTGAAGCACACAAGGTTTCAAGATCAGAAAATGAACTCAGAAATGAAAACAAACGACAAATTGGTAAATCTTGTTTTGAGAAATAGCTATCATTTTCAGACTTAAGTTTTTTAAAAGTCTGCTATAATACAGCATTGTGTATAGTTTGCAAAGTGCTAGGACTTTGTTTATCAAGTCCAGAAATCTTACAGTTCAGATTATGGTCATAAAGAATTTGTGTTTAGAATGCTTTCATGTAATTGTTTCTAGTGAGTAGCAATAACTTTACATTGAGTCTGGATAATATGAGCACAAAAGTTCAACATTAGAGAAAATCTCTTCTGGTTGCTCTGTATTTAGCAATTTGAATAAAAATGCAGAACCAAGCAGTATTCATGGCTTTATAAACACAATAGCCTAAAATAAAACCTGTTACCTTTCTATGAAAATACTTGACTGAAAAGTCACTAACGTTTTTCTTTTCTTTAGAAAGATATCTACAAAATATCTACAAGATATCTAGAAAATGACTTCTAGAAAGTCTTTTAGTACCCACGTTTAGTACTATTATGCTTTTTGTGTCACTGCCATAATTATTGTGAGTTTACAAATTACAAGCTGCTCTGACAGGACTTCTAACTACAGAAGTGGAGGAAGAGGATGCATGAAGTCCCAACCTGTTACCCCAGGAATTAAAAAAAAAACAACCCAACCAAACAAAAAGAAACCCAACAACCAAAATAACCTCACTCCAAAAAAGACCCCACTACTACTCCCACTACCTTCGAAGAAAAAAACAACCCACACAACAATACCAAGCAGAATTTCTCTTTTTCAGTCCCAGGTGGACCTTCAGCACGGAGAGGCCGTGGAGGTCACAGAGGAGGCCGAGGAAGATTTGGTATTAGGAGGGATGGTCCAATGAAGTTTGAGAAGGACTTTGACTTTGAAAGTGCAAATGCACAATTCAACAAGGAGGAAATCGATAGAGAATTTCACAATAAACTTAAACTAAAGGGTAAACCAATTTTTGCTTTAGATGTGAGCATGGAAAAACTGTGTCTTAGTGTTTTAATGCTACCTTGGAAAACAAAATTTAAAAGGTGTATCTTAACAAAGTCTTGTGTGCGATCATTAAAAAAAAAAGAAATCGATGAATAAATAAACTGGCATCATCTGTTTAATTTAATACTAGACTTTTAACTAGCAAATACCATAAATCATGTTCTAACAAGTCTGTTGGTTAAAAATGCAGATGACTGGAGCATAAGTCCCAATAATGTGAGTTTTACTTTTGAGTTCTGTCAAAGATGCACGAAAAGAAAACTCATGTTTTATGTTTTCAGTTATTAATATCCCAAAAGCTATCACAGAAACATGACTTTTGGATCAGAACTGTACTAGAGAATTTATGTGACAGTTTCAGTTTAAAGCATTCAGTAGCATTTGTTTGCTTTTACTCTTTTCCAAAGAAACACAGGAGTAGTTCAGACCCATACTGTCAGCACTTTTGTTTTGTTTACTCTCAGGCTTCTGTTTTAATTACCTCATTCTCTTGTGATCAGCCACCTGTTCGTTACACTGCTGCTACTATTTTTGGACAAAAATGTTACAGGTTAAAGTAGGGGGTTCCCTATTGCAGTAAATGATTGGCTAAAAGCTGGGAAACAAAAGGCAGGAATAAATGGTCAGATTTCATTGTAGTGAAAAAACACCATTAGAGTCCCATAGGATTTGTTCTCTGGTGCTTGCCTCTCTTTCTGGATCATTTTTAAACGAGTTGACAGTTTGCTGTTAACACTTTTTTTTTTTCTCGGAATAATAAGGCGGAAATGGAAAGCTTAACCATAAAGAATTATAGAAATACTTTATGAGACAGTGATAATTTGTGTGTGTGTTGTGGAAAGGTTGAGCTGGTTATCTGAAGTTTATGCACAGCGTCATGAGATTTAAGCTGTAAGCATTTAGGAATGAGACTTAAATATCATCATAACTATTTCTGTTGATCCATCAGCTTCATTTTTGGTTCCAGTAGAAGAGTAAGTTGAACTTCAGGCATTATTAGAAATAAATAGACTATAAAGTCAGTTCATGGGATAACATTTTGAATGCTGTCCCAGTGTCTCAAAGGAAGTAACAGCAAAGTGAGAAGACAGAAGAGTAATAGGGATGAGGAAGAACACGGAATGGCTTTTATATGAGGAATGGCTGAGTGAGGCTTTTAAGTCTGGAAAGGAAGTAGCTTGGAAGTTATAAAATAGATGACTATTGAATCTACTCTATCACAGGTTTTTTGTTAATTAAACACACCGAACATAGAAGATATCAAACCTCCAGACAGCAACAGCAAAACTTCCAAGTTTGTGTCAGATTACTTGACTTCCACATTAAATTTTGAAAGCCTTTTTGTATTTTTGAGCATTCAGTACTGTTTTTGTCTGTCTGTCTGGGAATAAGTTAACAGTGCTGTTTTGTTTAGTATGATGCTCTGGAAAGCTTCTGTTTACTTTTATTTTCCAGAAGATAAACTCGAGAAACCCGAGAAGCCTGTAAATGGAGAAGACAAAGGTGACTCAGGTGTTGATACCCAAAATAGCGAAGGGAATGCGGATGAGGAGGATCCACTTGGGCCCAACTGCTACTATGACAAAACCAAATCCTTCTTTGATAACATCTCCTGTGATGACAATAGGTACTGCCTGTACAGGGAGCCTTGTTAGTCTACTTAATGCATGTTTACATCATGAGCTAGTGTGAGCACTTCTCATTACAATCAAGTCTGAATCAAAAGTGAGTAAAGATTATGCCCACATGAAGCGGGCAAAAATAAAACACGAATATGAAGCACAAAATTTATTTGTGGTCAAGTGCAATATATCAATAGGAAGACAACTTTAAATGTTGTTTTAGAACCATGCTTCTAGAACCAAGTGTATGTACTCCAGAACTTCCTTTTCAGATTTAGTAAAGTGCTTTTTTTTGTTTTGTTTCTAAATTACCACTTCAGTTAAATCAATTATGACTGTGCTTTAGTAATTTAGATTGCATGACTGTCTTGTCCAGTATTGTTTTTTTAATGGGAAGATAGCGTTTCAGGAAAATCAGTGCTTATCTTGTTGTTGCCTTTTGATGAGACAAGATTATGTAGGTTGCTGATCTGTTTTGAATTAAGGGCATTGTTTTATTGTACTGACAGCTAGATAAAATAATAGCTGTAACTGCAAACTCTTATTTTCCCTTTCTTGTTTTTAATTGTGGACAGCTTTTATTTATTCATTCATTTTTATATATGTTGCTATGTGCAGAGGATATAGGCTGTGTCCTACATGGGAAACACTTACAGTGTTATTAATATGTAATTAATGATACTGTAACATCCCTTTTCATTGAGTTAAATGAGTTGTGGCAGACATCTAGATTCTTGCAGAAGAGATAACTTGGAGATTTGCAATGTGATTACTGTATCATTTTTCTTGTAATGGGCTTTCTGACAATTCTGTCTGGGCAGGCAGTCTTCCTTCTGAAGTATGTTTTATAACAGTCCTTGTTCCTTTTCTTGTGGCAGAGAACGGCGACCCACCTGGGCTGAGGAAAGAAGATTAAATGCTGAGACCTTCGGAATACCACTGCGTCCCAACCGTGGCCGTGGAGGGTACAGAGGCAGAGGGGGAATTGGCTTCCGAGGTGGAAGAGGACGAGGAGCTGGAAGAGGTGGCTTCACTGCCCCCCGAGGGTTTCGTGGTGGATTCAGAGGAGGTCGTGGAGGCAGGGAGTTTGCTGATTTTGAATATAGGGTAAAATATATTTAATCTTACTATGATCTGATTCACTGCTCTTGAAACTAGTGGTAAAAAATACCTCCTGCTTTTAGATTTGATACTGAGCTAGAATTTCTTGAATAGTATTTTGCAGGTACTCTTAGCTGCTTAATTGAAAGTCTGTTAATGCTGAATTTGTAGTTAAATAATTATACTGTCAACAGTAACCAAAACTAAAAGCTGCCTTTCTTCAAATGCCCTGTATGTTTGTTCTATACCTGGAAGGAGGGGAGGAGGAGAAGAGTAAAATAATGCAGATTTTAATACTAATCTTAGAAATGTGATTTGCAAGCCTTTTTCTAAGCAATATTGTAAAATGTAAAGATTGAGAGGGAGTAACTTAACTCCCTTCTACTGTGCAACAGACTTTTTAATGTTCTTTGTAAATGGTTTGGCACAGAGCCTATGGACTTATAAGAGCCTGTATAACCCCTGAAATAGAGTAATTGAAGTTAGTGAAGCATAGCAGTGACCTTTTGCAAAAAGGAAGATTTGAGTTCTGTAAGGTGCTATTACATGCTTCTTTTTAAATACAACTTTACATGGTTACATCCAGTAACTGGGGGGGAAGCTAAGGCAGGATTGACTTTTTTCAGCCATTCCGCAAAAAAGACCTGTGGAAGAGAAGGCATAAAAACTTCAAAAGAAAGGATCCCTGTCCATCCCATAGAGAAAGTGTTTTTAAAAAATTAAAATTACTGCTACTTCATTTTTAGTTAAGTGTGAATGAAGCTTAAAGCTTCTTTAACGGTTATGCAGAAGCCACCATGTAAATCTGCTAACTGAAGTAGCCTGATGTACAAACGTGCTTTCATCTTAGCGTTAGCATAGAAATGGTAATTTGTTCTGCAAGAGCTACGATGGCTAAAAAGCAGACTCTTAATTTACAATATAGTTATGCAGTTTGTTGCTTTAGCCACATTAATAAGACATCCGTTTCTGTTTCCTGTTGAAGATCTTAACTCTTCTTCCTACCAGCCATTCAGAGGAAGGACAAGGGTAGTTGTCAGCCCCAGCTAGTAAAGGGATGCATTCTGTGCTAGTGATACCTGAGCTGCACCTTCTTTTTCTTAGAAACAATCTAAATTATCCTTTTTATGATACTCATTGATCGTACTGACTATGTAATCAGCTCAGTTGCTTGCAGAAATTAATTTCAGCGCAAGCCATTTTTCTTGGCGTGTAGATTCAACTTGAATGTTAGCGTGTTAAGGAACAGAGGCAGTACTGGCATACTGTTTAGAACCAGTAACAGATATAATTAACCAGGTTGGTGTAAGTAAAGGGAGGCTTTTATAATTCTGATTGAGACAGATGAACAACTGGTAATTTACTGCATGAACAGTTAGAGTTTTGCAATACAAGAAACTTTTTCTGGTTGAAGATTTCTTCAATTTAAAAAAAAAAAGTGGAAATGGGAGCCTTTTTTCATCACAGAAGGTTTCTGACTGTCCGTCAGATGTACCTTCATTAGGTTGCAGTAATTAGTCCTGTGATTTAAAGGACAAGTCTTTGATAGCTGAACATGAATTGAAATTAGGAATTGAAGATCAAAGCTTTGAATTTCTGAATGAAGGAACTTCACAGCATGCCAGGTAAGCAGGAGCTGGCGTAAAGACCAAGGACTTGTGCCATGCAGCTGGTCAAGGTGACGCGCTGCTCTGGTGTGTGCCAGGCTGGGTGTTTTGACCAGACACTAACCTGATCATGCAGAGAGGTCTCGTTTCTCATTGCAGAAGATGAGAAGTGGCCATTACAGAGCATCTTTTCCCTGTGCTGTTGCTCAGATGAATTTGTGAGTTTTGTTTTGCAAAATTAATTGTAATGTTGTGCTGTTGTTCCCTCTAGAAAGACAACAAAGTTGCTGCATAGTCTACAAGACAGCTGAAACAGAGTGAGCGTCTCGACCTTCTTGATCCAGAGAATTAGTTTCAGTCTCTGCAAAGAATGAAGTTAATTTGCTGTATACTTGTCACCAGCACTGGGATTTAACTATTTAATTTCAAAGGGGTGTAATGCAGTTGCTTTTGAAAAATGGTCATCTTTGAAAACAGTGAGCATTAAATATATTTGAGACAGAAGGATAAGTAATTTCTTATGTATAGTTAATTATAAAGCAGTACTTCGATGGAGTTTAAGTATTTTTTCATCACTGAAAGGATTTTTCTTATTACTAAACTATTTGATAATTGCTTCAAGTTGTAAGGACAATTGTATGCAGAAGGCCGTCGATACTGTGAGTGTTTTGATCCACTGAAGGTTGTTTTTTGGAAATCCTGTAATATCCCTTTTGAGATAGTTGTACTTTTATCAACTAGGGTGCTGGACAGTAGAAAACTTGCTTTGTCAGTCAGATATGTACACACAGTAAATACTGTTTCTTAGGCAAAGGAAACTTTTTATATAGTTGTAAAATTCCATTATATCCCATTGCCAAAGAAACATTACAAAGTTTGTATAGCTGTATAAAAAGCAACTAATTTTTTAAAGAATAAACATTTTTAAGTCTGCAAACATACTGTGTTATTGCAAAAGCTGATATGCTGAAGAACACTGAATTAGTTGGGTTTTTTTCTTTAGCAGCTTTTCAGGCTTATATGTTTGATTTTATATTTGGACTATACTGAAGATTTGAAAATGTTCTTCCATTACACGAAACTGGATACGCTTTTCACTTCTCTTGCAAGAATTTGATTTTGTAGTTTCTGGCATATCACAGGATTTGACCAAATTAAGGAGATATTTTCAAATAAAGAGAAAAGGAATTTTCGTATGTCAAAATTTGCAAGTAATTTTACTTAGTGATAAATATTAACTTTTTTTAATAATGGACCAGGCTCATGAGGTAGTGATTCTCCTGGAATGCCTGGGACAGAAGTATGTCTCCATTCGTCAACTCTTGAAATGTTAACTTTGTTGTAATACCTGTAGGCATAAGCAATTTAAGGAATTCTTAGTGTTTGAAGTTGTTTGCATTTTGATAGACCATAGCTTGGAGACATTACGACTCTGGTTCTGAGACCGTGAATTCACAAATGACACAGTATGGACTTTCTGCTGATTCTGAGTGACTTGTTACAGCTCTTTGATGCGCTGAAATAGAAACCTGGTCATTTGTGTCTGTATATGTGTATGAAGGCCATAGGAATAAAGGGATCCAAAGATTAAAACATTTTGATCTAATTTGCTGATTATTTTTTTTTACTTTATCTTCAAAATGTTCAGTGGTGATAAAGATGTGGAGAACTGCACTGTTGGAAAATTGGAATATTTAAAAGTGGTTGATAGAATCTTAATTTTATAACTTTTGTATAGCACTACAAGGAAGTATTTTGTAATTGGTTTCCTTATTAAGGTCAAGTATTTGGCAATCGTAGAAGTTAGATAATATTGTTTAGTAATGTTTTTTGCATGTTAACAACACTGCCTTTTGGGATCCACAAGTCATGACTCTGAGCAACTCTTGAGGTTTTTGACCGCAGAGGCAAGTGCTGTGCTGTCGCAATAACGCTGTATGCTGTACCAGGTGTCCCAGGCTTATTTAAACACGATGAATTGTAAATACCAGCGCCACATGCTGTGCGGGTGTGAATGTCCGTCTTCCCCCGGCGCGTTGGTTATGCGGTGGGGTGCTCCGTGCCCAGGAAGCAGCAGCGTGGCGTGTACCTTCGGTGTACCTTGCTCCACAACGTGAGGGTTGCTTTTTTTTTTATTTTAAGCCAGAATAAACTGTTCAATAAAATCAGTCTTTCGGAAGTTGTTTCTTGTGCGTCACGGCACGGTGCTGGGACGGGAGAAGAGTGGCTCAGCCCGGTGCCGTTTTCCAGCCCCGTCCTTGCCGTATCCCGCCGGTT